CATCACACGACGCGTTTCGATCGAGGCTTAATTCGATCTTCATCAGGCATGTTTAGAATTTCATAATTACATACAAATCAAAACTCACTCAAATTCATGAGGCAGTTAAGATTCAAAAGGTAAATAAATAAACAAAGAGGGTGTGGCTGTGATAGGGCTGCCAATATCTGGATTTCACCCCGACTAAAGGAATCATGCGTTGGCTGGCTTGAATCACATATGTACATAATTTTATTATAGAAGAGTTTTTGTAGATTGAGAGCATCACATCAGGCGTTTCGATCTTGCTTAAGGGTCTATTGTCAGGTAGGTTCAGAATTTCTATTACAAAATTTATTGTATTAGAAACTCTGCAATAAATCGAAGAAGTTAAAACTAATATAAAACGTATTAAATGCTTAGTTGAATATACAGTAAGTATTAATAAAATTGATATGAGTGTCAATTGTTGACACATTTGTAAATGAAAGCAAGTAATATATGCATATATGCTTTACTTAATTTGATTTCTGTATTTTAATAATCACAGAAATTAAAAGAATTATATTCACTTTAACATTACTCTTATGTTGAATATTAATTCCGACATGAATTCCGAAACACTAATAAACATATTATCCCAATAGCTCCCCAAAAACACGTACAGTTTGTTCGATGTTCTAGATTCACTCTATTCGACTCAATGTCCTTTAACGAAAATAGTATCATGAAATTAGACCAATTTCAAGTAATGTATTGTGAGTATTACTTAAAGGTCCCAAAAAATGAATTTCATTGCTGAGCATTTTTCGGTCCGACGTGGAGTATGCGTTATAGAATGAGTACGGAAAATAGTCAAATTTGTAATAGTCTTTAAGAATTATTCTTTGGGAAGAGTGAAACGTAGCGCAATATTGATTGTGTGCTATTTGTACAGTTCGTGATATCAAGTCTCGTACTATTACAATTCACAAAGACAAAAATATTTCAAACGTGAATGGCATTGATTCAAAACACTTCTATAGTGTATATTATAACTAGAACCTAAGAATCGTGACGTTAAGGATGACAATCATAATGGCAGTTATGAACCGCAAAATATGAAGTAATTCGACGACTAGTATAAGACCATCAGTTCCAACACCAACGAATAAGAGGATAACGATATGGGCAATGCCAAAAAAAGATATATGGTAATGGTGCAAGTATGTAAAAAATAGATTCAGAACATATCCGATGAGGACTATTTGAGCAATAGTTTAAGCGTGTGATAAGGTGTTTTGAATTTATTCTATGAAGCTCACACTCTCACACCTCCACAATGTTAATGTTTTTATTGATTGTTAAATATCGCTTTAGCGGCAAGTATAGGACCAACAATTTTCACAGTTTCATCCACTAGATTTACACTGCCATCTGATTTCACTAGGTCAAACCAATCTGGATACTTCTTCAAAATAGTAGAGATTTCAATAAAACTTTTGTTGTTATAAAATTGTCCACCATTCTTTTTTACCATCGCTGATATCTTCTCCAATAAAATCTTGGCAGTTTCTTCTTTTTTATCGTCACTTCCTGTATTATCGACAGCAATATATCTACCATTACATTTTTGTATAAGGGTTTTTAAGAATTCTGGTATATCTTCGAGAAATTCTTCAACGGTTTGATTATTCCTTACAAGACCATCTAAACCAGTGAAAATAATAATACAGTACTCAAGAGCTCGCTCATCGAATACTTCACATATCCATTTTGCAACTATATGTTCTTGTAATGTAAAACGGTCGAGGGTGAAGACAACAAGAAAAGCATGTGGACCTGGTGCTGCCACTTGATAGGAGCCATAGATTTCGGGTAGTAGTTCTGCAGGACTAAGCTCTGTATCAAAAAATCCTGGTGTATCAACAACCAACAATCTTACATCATCGAAAATTCTATCACTGGGCCCACACTTTTTAGTAACAGATTTCGCAGTTTTAAGTGCTTTGAACTGTTTTCTTCCCAATATTGTGTTTCCAAATGAACTTTTGCCTATAAATAGTGAAAGAAAGAATAATTATTCAACGAAAAATAAGATCAGTCACATTACTACCTGATCCTGTTCTCCCAAGTAGGACCACTCGAAATTCAGGTATTCCATATAGGTAAACGTATGTTTTAGCATCATTCTGTACAACTTTATCGATTCGGAATATGGTACCAGGAGGCAATATTACTTCATCTTCATTTGGATATCCTGAATATGATGATATATTCAATCCACCAGTAGAAGTCACATCGATAATAAACAAAATATTTCCGAACTGTTCTGCTATTTTGCGATTTTTACTTGTAGAAGTAAACCCGTACCAACATTTGTGTGCACCTATTGCTTCTTTATAGTAGTGAATCGCATCTGAGGACATTGGCACACTACGATAGACTATTCCATAGAATCGTTCATGAGCTAGTGTGTCACTCCAAATGGCTTCCGTTAAAAAATAACAAAAAGGTGCTACTGTATCCATTTTGGTTTTGTCGTTTTCTCTCAGTACGGTATTCACTAATTTATATAAAAAAGATTCCAATGTATAAAGATAAATACAACATTTAAGAATTTCGCTCTCGCTCTTGTCTTTCATATCCAGTAAACCTTTGGCAATGTGCTCTGCTTCTTGATGTTTATCTAATTGACCACCTTCCACTAATATTCCATTAGCGGCCTGTGTGATTATCTCATTATTCGAAAGTGTTGCGTTAGTTTTCCTCCAATCATAAATAAAAGCAATCCCTCCTTCTAATCCCGAGTCGTTCAATAGTTTGAATGTATGGGATGGTTGAAGTTCTTCTGACATGAATCGTTCTTTTTCTGATACTAGTCGATATTCTCTGGATTCCGATTGATTTTCTCTGGATACTAGTTGATTTCCATTTTCTCTGGATGCTAGTTGATTTCCATTTTCTCTGGATGCTAGTTGATTTCCATTTTCTCTGGATACTAGTTGATTTCCATTTTCTCTGGATACTAGTTGATTTCCATTTTTATCAATTGTATTTGTTCCAGATGAGGGTTGTATGGACAGACACTTCCCCATTATAATAGATTTCGAACCAAATTTTATGAAGAGTATTGATGGGATTTAAACAAATGTTGTCACACAGTCAATATCTAAAATAAATGATGCGAGTACTCTTTAGGATCTTAATCAGGTTCTGGATTGATGATGAATATTTTTAAGAATATACAAACGAATCATTTGTGTAAAATTCCTCAGTGTAACAGCATTAAAACTGAAGCTAGCTTTCTATCTAAATTACTGAATAAAAGTTAATTTTTTATATACAGTTCGAAGTAAAAATAATTTATAATATCTTCAAGATTTAGAGGTCGCATACGTTTTACCATTCTTTATAACTTCATCATCCTGTTCTTTCATATTATCAAGATAAAAGCGACAAATCGATTGGCGACTTAGTTCATGAGCAAGTCAGATTATAAATGGTAATTGAAGGGTGAGATGAGAGCATGAAAGTCAAGACTTCTATACTCGAGAGGTCATCCTGATGTCCTCACTAGTTTGTATATAAAATAGTAGTTTTTATCGATTGATGTAAAATCAAATACACTTCCTATTGACGATAAATTAAAATTATTGTATTTTCGAAAATTTGTAAGTTTTCCTTCAATGTTGTACCATTACCAATGGATTGAAAATATACTAAAGAGAGATGATGGTTTACGATATTTTCATCTTAAAGGAACCTTCAATATAAAAATTATTGGTTGAATTTGTATAAAAAAAATTTATCTCACTTTTTTGTATATAGTTACGAATGAACTGCCAATGGATGACTACATGCTTTTTTCTGTTGCTTGTACACCTGCCAGTTATATTGTAACTTGTAGATCTTTTGAAGTTGCATATTCTGGTATTCTTGGAACTTTCTATAAAACATTTTCAATGATGAAAACAATAGAACATAAAATCAAACCATTGTTGGCAAAGCTACCGTTGTTTACTCTTATTACCTTTCTCGTATGAAAATGTTTTGCAATTTATTGATGCAATGTACATAAATGAAGGAGACTACAGTGGAAAAAGGCTTTTAATAAATGTGAAGGCTTTTATTTTTGGTTCTCTTTCTCTTTGCGTTTCTCTCTGTTTTTTTAATTTCTGTTCACATTCTTGAGGGTGTGTGAAGAAGCTGCCATGACGCGTTTCGTCCCTGCTAAAGGACTATTCAGATGGCTGAATCTATTCAATTTTTGAATAATAAAAATTGTTTTTACAAAATTTCAAAATAGAAAACTAAATAGATAACTCAGATTCATTGTTATAGACAAAATTTTAAATAACTAAATAAATAAAACTCAATTTATAATAGAATTAAATATATGAACAGTAGTGTGAATAAGCTGCCATGATCTAGATTTCGACCTTGCTAAAGGGTCTCATCAGATGGCTTAATTATAATGAATTATTCTTAAACGAAAATTCAAAACAAATTATATCTTGAAGAATTTACAAAATTGTAAAAATTATAATAAGGTGTGGGTGTGGGGTGCGAACAGCTACCATAATCTAGATTTCACTGGAGCAACCCAGATCATCAGATGGCAAATAATCTAAATGATTAAAAAATCACAAGAATAATTTTTGACTGA